CTTGCTGATATTTCCTTTTTTCCATTATATATAAGTTTTGATAAGTTTTCTATAGTGGTCTCAAAAATCGGATATTCGTCATGAAAAGATTTTCTATATGCTGGTTCTGGTTATACATCATCCTTAATGATACGTCGTGAGTCAGAGACTTACCTTATTTTACAGCAAATTTTAGATAATCAGTGTAGTTTGCAGATCTTTAAGGGCAAAAACGAAATACAACAATTTGTTGGTGAAACACCTATTGTTGTATAGAATAGTTACAGAATGCATCAAAATAAAGATCACTTTGAACTTTTCGGGTTAAAAGATCCAAAAGTTCAAGCATTATTAACTAAAGAAGCAAAAAAAAATATACATACAACATGTACATCATTTTACTGGGATGACGAGTTAGTTTTACAACAAATTTTTGACTTACATATCAAATGTAGAAAAATTTCAATGCCTATTGATAATTGGAAAGTTCTTTTTACGAAATGGGTATCACAACAAAGTTCAATAATTCAGATGCTACAAATTTTATATAGTATACACCCACCTGATTTTTTTTTTCAACACAAAGAACTAGCTACTTGGCATTTTATGTTTAAGGCCTGTGGATGCACAAATATTACACCATATTCAAAAGAAGAATTTGATGTTGAATTCTGGACATGTGCAGTAGATCCTTTGGTGGATCAACAAATCTTGCAAAACTTATATAAATGGGAATTACTTCGAATACAGGATCAAAACTCTCCATGTAATATTACAACAAATTGCAATTTTGAAATAGTTTCCGTAATGCACTTGGTATTAATAAAAGAGGGGCTAAAGGAAAACTTTAATTACTTTCTATTATTGCGCTTGACTTTCATCATCAAGAACTTGAAAACGAATTAGGCGTAAGATATCAAGTATTTGCTTTACATTAAAATTTTTATATTAACATATACAATTTTTATTATTAAAATATAGATAATGCAAAAAACTGTATATAAAGCTAGAAAGCATGCACGTCTCTATGGTGCTGGTGCACCGCCAATAGGAATGCCAAAAAAAACAACCAAATTAATGGCCGAATTTAAGGAGAAACAGTTTGAATTATTTTTTTTGGATAAGGATAATGTAACAATGAGTTCTTACAAGATAGATCTGAAAACCAATTTGCCTATACTTTATTTACGTGATAACAAGGCTTCTCTTTGGAAAAAGTTTCAACAAACCTTTCCAAATGGAATGAAAAAAACCTTTTTTATGGGCCGGCTTGCAGATTACATATATTTAAAATACCGTGATGATTTGGGTGGTCTCTGTGGGACCTGTAATGATTACGGGTTTGGATCATTTGAAAGTTTAGTTGGAATTGCTCGAAATATATATTTTGACAAAGTGGAATTGGTATAAAGATATATTTTTCTTTTTTTTTTTTTTTACCAAACACTTTTATTATTTCAATAGAATGCTCTTTATAATCATGTTAATTCTTTGTAATTGCTTTGAAAATTTCTAATCACTGCTTCGTTGTTTTAAGACGATTTACACGCACATCTTTCCTTAATTAGAATATGGTTTTGGAGATGCATTTTTTTTTTAAAAAAACGGAGGTTTTTTAACTAGGATATTAGAATCCTTTTTTTTTTTTTTTTTTTTAAGAATCCTTTTTTTTTTTTTTTTTTTTTTTTAAGAATCCTTTTTTTTTTTTTAATTAGGATATTAAAATCCTTTTTTTTTAATTAGGATATTAGAATCCTTTGTTTTTTTAATTAGGATATTAGAATCTTTTTTTTTTAATTAGGATATTAGAATCCTTTTTTTTTTTAATTAAGAAGGATTCTTTTTTTAATTAGGGTATTAGGATCTTTCTTTTTCTTTTTTTTTGTTGTTTAACAGGATCGCTTCTTTCCCCCCAACTAAAATGTTTTCTTATAATAGAATATTTTTATTTTGATTATAATTTTTTTTTTTTATATATACATATTGTATTTTATTAGAACAAAATACTTTCACGAATTGAACATTTGCGGCGCCATTTTAAGCGAGAATTTGAATGAGAATTGATAGTATTATTAAATGGAACAATTTCACATGATACTTGTATTGACCATTGTCTTCCATATGCTTTTGGAGAATGCTCGGCCTCACATGTCTTGAGATGTTCGAAATGTGAACAGTTTTATAAATTTTTTGATCAGTTAGAAAGTTGTGTAACTAATGATTATATAGCGCAATTACGTGAAGTTCAGGATAGGTTAAAACATTACTTAGGTCACCAAGCACGAAAAGTTTATCTCAACGCTCAATTCAAGGCAACTTTGGCTCAGTTGGATTCCGATGGGGCTTTAATTGTAGCTGACTATAAAATGAGAATTCTTCCGAAATCAGCTCGCGAAACTAAAAAAGATTTTTATGATAAAAGGGGTTAGACTTTGCACACTATTCTAGTTTTTAGAAAAATAGAAGACAAAGATGTATTAGATGTTCAGGCATTTGATCATTGGTCTACTGACACAAAACAAGATGCTTGGTTCACTGCTTCTTCATTTGAAGCAGTATTTGAATCACTGGAACCAAAAAAACTGAAGTGGATAACTATAATTTCTGACAATGGTGCATACTATCACAATTCAGAGTTGATGACTATCATAGCACATTAGTATACATGGTATTCTATTGAAGTAAAGAGATGGCTGTTTTTGGAGCCAGAAGAAGCTAAGACAACCATTGACTTTCATCATGCAAATGTGATGTTGAACTTTTCATAAGTTAATTTTTGTTAAACTGCAAGTTACTAACAATTTAATGCTTTGATATTATAATAGATCGGTCATAGCATTAGACAGTATGTTCGGGTTGAGTTTGATTTGGTTGAAGGCGAAGATATAGTTGAAGCAGCGAAAGAGTTAGCTGGAACATCATTGGCACAAATCATAATAAATCGTGATAATGGAAATAGTGAATCTGAAATAGAAGATGACGGTTCAAATAAAAAAAAAAATAATCAAAAAAAAGTAAAAGTTAAAACCATACCTGGGATTTCAAAATTTTTTGTTGGGAATGGCCAATAGAAGGTTCATTAGCTGGTTTCATTCGCGCCATAGGACTGCCTAACATAGGGTCATGGAAAAATTTTTCCCCGGGAGAAATAACCAAATTATCTAATTCCCCGATTACTCGCCCAAAGCCGATAGTTTCAGCACACACAAAAACCATATCTGATTGGACAATTCCAGTTCTAAAGATGCAAGGTATGTGACATTTGAGTAAACACTAATTATAAATAAATCAAAAAATTGATTGTTTGTGGTAAATTTTAGTTCCTACGAGCGATAGTATAATTAGAGACATGGAAATGGAGGGTAGGTTTTAACTTTATGAACTTACAAAAAGCCACCAACTTATATTGTTCGTGAAACAGATGTCAAATATTTTGATGGTGGAGACCAATATGAGATGGATTTTGAAGGTAAGAACAATTACTCTGTACCTGTACCCGAATGTTTCTCCGTAGGAATGGTCATCTTTTGATTTAAAAAAGTAGTTTAGTGGTAATAACTTGTTTGCTTTGGTATT